AAAACATAATACTACACTTATGCAATGGTCATAAAGTGAGATACGCCAATTTACTAAGTTGCCTACCTTCACAAATCCAGTGCGACGATCAAGATTTAAATGCAAATTCTTGATCTCACCAAATTCACCAAATGCATTGTGCAAATCATCCTCTTGGGCTTCCTCATGTACACCACTGACCAAAATAATCCATCCTTCAATGGCTGCACATTTATTAACGAGATGTACTAATGAGAAAAGAGTTCACAATCATATAGGAAAATCTTAATTTGTTCTTGGACACAATTGCTTTTATCTACCATACTCTACGGGGGTACGTTTCGGTTTCATTCGCTTTGCTACAATTGGAGAAGCACGGAGAGCGATCTCAAAGATGAATAGCGCTCGCATTGATGGTAGTAAAATTGGAGTCTCTTTTTCTAAATACAACACAAGACATTCTTTTTGGAGAAAGTCTTCGCCAGTTGTCCACCTAAAGCCCGAGAGAGAAAATGTTACAAGAAATAATCTCTATACAGTAAATGGTGTTGTTGACGAAGCTAAACTTCAAGTTTTGGATAACTGCCTAATAGGGTGGTGCAAGAATTATACCAAAATCGGTGATCTTGCTAGCCAAATGCAAGACAAAGGACTCAACGGTTTCTCGTTAATGAGAGCTGCTGGGAATGTAGTTCTCATGATATTCGAGGATTCTGATACGTTGAGAAGGGTTAAGAATGAACAATCAGAGACTCTTGCAGGGTGGTTTTCTAGAGTTGAAGTTTGGTCGGAGAATCTAGTGGTAGAATGCCGTCGAGTATGGGTAGTTTGTGAAGGGATTCCTTTTCACGCATGGAATTGGGGTACTTTCAAGAACATTGCGGCTAGGTGGGGCAAATTAGTATCAAATGATGAAAGCTCTCAGTTTCCTTCATCTTTTGATCGTGCAAAACTTCAAATCCTCACAGAGACTAAAGTAAGGATTGATGAGTCCTTGGGTTTGAAGGTCGATTCTAATTCTTTTGAAATCATGGTGCATGAAGTTGAGCCTTCTTTCAAACCAAACTCTTGGATCCCTGAGGAAGTCGATGATTCTCCAGATCTGAATTGTTTTCTCGGGGCAACGTTGGAGAATTCTCTGTCAGGATCGTCAGTGTCATCCCCAGGTTTAAATTGCCCCGTCGAAGATGTTGCAATTGAAGGTCCCCGCTTAGAAAAGGTTTCACTCATAAAGAGTGTCATAAGCGATGAGAAACCGAGTAACAAATTGGGGTTGCACACAATGGAGGCTGTGGATCATTCAAAATTAAATATCGTGGAGCATCTAGCTAATAAATCAGTTGATCATTCTGATGGTGTTAGCCTCAGGGCCTCGGAAGATGCTCTTATGATGGGTCTCATTACTTCTCATGGTTCATCTACTGACACATTTCAATTAAAGGAAGATATCCCAGTGGTGCCCCCTATCCCTGCGAAATTAAGAACTAATCGTGTAGCGAAGAAATGCAAGACAAAGAAAAGAGTTCTGAATTTATTGGCAAGGAAACATTGATTGAAGGGAAGGAAGTGTGGTTTTGGTTCATTAAAGATAATTATCGAGCTGATTTTTTTGGTGATTTTGATACATGTTGGTATTTTTGTGGAGTTCCCTTCAAAGGCGGATGTTTTTGTTTTAATGGTTTTAGGTGTTGTTTTTATGTATGTTATGTCATTAAATGTTGGGTTGTTTTCCTATTGATGGAGGTTTATCTTAGGTATAGGGTGATTGCCTTTTGATTTTTGTGGTCGAGAAGGTGAGAGCTTTAGGTGATTATGTTTTTTGTAATGGTGTTTATCCTCGTTTGAGGGTATTTCGTGTTTTCATATGTAATGAGGCGTTTTATTCAATGAAATATGAGGTACTCTTTTTTTCCTTCCTATGTTCGTTAACATACTTCTTAGTACGTGGACGAATACGAAGGGAGTTTTTAATGAGACCTCCAACTTCTATCAAAAAAAAATCTACCATACTCTACACGTTGAGTTATATTGACATTGTGTAGGAAAATAAGGGGTGTTCATACAGAAGTCACAACTCGCAAACCTTTAAATTAGCTGGACACGCAGAAGGTTAGGTTCAGTACAGTATAACAAATTTAACGCACTCAATTGGTGGTTGAAACATGGCCAAACAGGTAATAGCAGTCCTTGAAGAAGAGCAAACAGATTTAAACTTGGTCAACAATGTAATTAGAATCTTTTTCCTTTTCTTTCATTGGACTTATTGTCCTTGACGGAAAGGAATTTCAAATATCCCCCACATGATGTTCCAACAAAATTTTGAGGACAGGAAAATAGGACCAACCCCCATCCCGTTCTTTTGATAATGGAACAAAGTGAACCTCAAGAATCAGCCAAGAATATATAGACATAATGTCAATGAAATATCCTCTGAAATCAAGAGAAAATTTATATAAGATATATATTTTTATTGAATTTTGGGTCATGTTCATCACACAAGTTTAGAAAACTAATTTTATAAGAGGAAAAAAAACTAATTTCAGGGATTTCTTTTGATTTCTAATACCTTACACTTCATCTTATCAAAAAAAAAAATACCTTACACTTCATAAACATTAACTACACCCATCTAACAGCACAAAGAAACAGGTCTAAAACCTAAATGAAAATTGCATACTACAGTTGGTGTGATGCATATACAATGTATATGAAGAAATTCATGAAGCCTCTGCCATTAAACTTGATCCAGTCTCATAACAACCTGAACATATTATGCCCTTACACTTACAGTTTCCAATGAAAAGGGTAGTAAAGCAGTTCTTGTTAATGAAGGATTCCTAAGAAGCATACTATGGTCAACAAATATCCACGATGACAGAAGTAAAGGAGGTTGCTTTTTGGAACTGAAAAAGATTAAGATGTTCCAACGACCTGCAAAACAACTCATTTTGATATATAACCCTTGAATAACCTGTTAAATGAACCAAAGATTAAGATATCTTATCAGTGAAATTTATTCATTATGATTAGTTTTTGAATTATTTCCTTATGAGCAACTGTTGCCAATCAATAACAGAAGACACATTAACACTATGTTCTGAATAGTTTCAATATCAGCCTACTCGAACTACCATATCTCTCATCTCATTTCAACCAAACTTAATCTAGCATCATTGTGAAATTTGAATGTCAGATTTCGTAAATGTCTTGTCTTCTAGGGCACAGATAAAACAATACCCTAGATAAAAACAAAAGGAAACAGCATAAATAAACGACGAGAGGAAGAAAAAAAAGAAAAATTAGGGTTTATAGGAAGGACTAACATCTCTGGGGACCGGGGCCACCATCAGTGCCAAGGGACTCGAAGTCGCGGGAGGCAAGACGGGACTGGCGGTCGGCATCTTCTTCGCGAAATCCACGGCCCTTGGTCTTCTTAGGGCCAGAAAGAGAGGTGGAAGCACCGCCAGTGATGGCAGACTTGAGCTTAGGCATTGCCGCTTGAGGGGAGGCGTCCCCGGCGGCGTCCTCGTCCATGAGGTCATCGTCCTCCGGCTCGAAATCCACCGCTTCCACATCAGCACTAGCCATCACCTCGATCTGAACTCTTATTAACTTTTAGAATATCTGAAACTAAATCTAGTTGTACTCTGATTCAAAATTCGTGAGCTTGCTTTGGAAAGTGAAAAATAACTGGAAAGGTATGATTAAGCTTAGCTGATTGAGCTTCCGAAACTGAATTTAAATGGGCCTCCTCTTCCATATTTTGCAGAACCTTCTAGGAAATTTTGGGCTCAAATTTGGGTTATCTTTGGGTCAAATTTAACCTACTTATATTTACTTCAGAATTATAAAATAGAATAGTTGTAGGTTGAATGATGAAATATACATGCATAGTGTGTTCGATTTAGGGATGGTAAATGGGCGGATTAGGTGCGGATACCCCTCCTCTATCTCTATACTCATCTAATATTTTTAAATTCACTATCCATCCACTACTCATGATGGGTAAAATTTTTCAAATCTACACCCGCTCATGCAGATATATTTTCAAATTCATCCCCACAACCACTACTCAACTGGAAATGTACCCGGCTAGACCCGCCTGACAGCAACCTTAAGTTATACATAAGCAACAAACATAAAACAAACACGTCCATTAAAAAGTATAATATTACTCTCTAAAATTATACCTAATATTTGATTAAATTATAAGTTATATCTTATACAATATTAAGATTTATAAATTAGTTTCTAAAATTATACATAAATTCATAATGGTCCAAAATTTAATGGGAATTTAGTGGGAAGGCGGATGTAGAGCAGGCGGATGCGGGGCGGGTATAGTCTCAAACCCATCACCCGCCCACTACCCACGAATGGTACCACTTTTTAAATCCACACCCGCTCACTACCCGCTAGAGTTATACCCATCACCGTCTCAATTAGAGCTGGTACAACGAGGAATCTATAAAATTATATCCGTTTGTCATCTTTTGTTCGATTACCGATGTTTTTTTGCTATTTATGTTAAGGCTACTATTTGATGCACATGGTTAAATATTTTTATTTCAGAAATCATATTTAAATATTGTCATGTCTTAAGTCATTTCTGAATCCGAGAACGAGTATAATTTTTATGTTAAGTGATGATTTTATAAACTTTTTAATAATAATCGTATTTATAAAATTTTAGAAGACGTGAAAATAATTTTTTAATAAAAAATATCTAAAATATATTAATAATTTGTAAATTTTAGAGGAACAATCGCTACCTCAATCAATTCTTACTTTCACAGCAGTTGATGCTTAAACTCATTATCTCTAGGAATAATGATAATTTCTTTAACCATCAAGGTAAATTGATTTGTGCTACTTATAAAGTTTTTTTTTAACTCTGTTGTCAGTGTTTGTAATAACTTTTCTTATGTTAAACTCATATATTAATTCAATTAATCTTTTATCATCAAACTGTAATCGTTTTTTTAAAATGATTAGGGAAAAATAGTTACTTCTGAGAAGTGAAATGTCTGAGCTCTACAACATATAACATTCCATGTTTAATAAAGTTGCCATTCTCTATCCCCATCAACAAATCAATGGCCTTCTGAATGCTTTCTTAACCAAAATCTTCACATAATCTGGGATGTGCCAAGTACATTTGCTTCACTTCCATGCCACTTTGAACTCGAATTTCGGTTTCCAGGAGCACCATTCATAGAGCAGAAATTCTTACACATTTTGCACAGTTGGAAGGGAAATGGACCGGATATCTGTATTGAGATCATGGTGCATGCATTTTGTTGTATACGCATGTCTATTGCAGGATTTCAGATGGCCAGAGCCGCTTCCATGTCGATATCTCCTCGACTCTGCTAAGTTTACGGATTCCACCATAAAATCCATCCGCCTCGTTTCCCTCCTCTCGATGTTCTTTCCGGTTGATCATTGAGTGTCGCCACCTTGAGCCAGGGGCGTACTGATTGAACTCTAACGCCACCGTATCTGTTTAACAACACTATGATGTTAAAAACCGGGCAATAATAACTCAAACCTTCAATTATGATGCAAATCTATCTGGTTTCTTGAGATGCAAATGATTACAAAAAAAGGACCAATTTTTTCTTTCTTTTATGCTTTATGTAACTTGCATTGGTGTGACAAAAGGCAGAACATGAATGTGAATTTTGAAGTGTAAAACACCCATTGCAGCCCCACAAGACTTGAAGATTCCAGATACGTAAAGCAAACACAGCCCCACTAGAGACATTGTGTCCTTTCGGTGTGGTTGGCCATAAATATTCTGTCAAGACACGTTATCGCAATGTCGGTTGAATTTACGACATAATGACGAAAACTCGTGTTTCGGGACCAACCCAACAGAACAACTTGGGGACCTGTATTAGAAAGACGAGGTTCCTGAAAATGACCTATCCTAAACCGGATGTCCTTCATGAAAGTTGACATTATGAATTGCTATATTTCATGGACTCTTTCTTCACATCCTTATTCAACACAATTCAAACATACGCAATCAAGTAAAGAGGATAATGATTTCACAAAATCTATGAACAAGATTTGACCATATTCGTGTTAGATACCGACACGTAACGTAGATTACAAGAATGTTTGTAACTCACAAACACAAACACAAACAGTTAATTTCTTCAACACAAGAGAAGATATTTCTATTCTTAAAGGCAGAAGATGTGTCCCTTGGAATAGCTTAAAAGGCAGATAACACGTAATGCTTGCAATAGTACCAAAGTGAAGTTAGATTCTCATTTTCTAGGCAAGTCTATATGAATATCAGAGATTGCCATTTGAGAAAAGAAAAGATGAGCTCAAACTTACCACTCTGATGACACCTGCAGTAATTTTCGCTCCGGTCACACGATTCCAAGTGACCAACTACACCATACCACCAACCATATGGGAATTCTTTGTTTCTTCTCCACTGAATCTCGATGTGATCATCGGGGCGTAGCTCGTTCAAACAATCAGAAATGTGAAGATTGTGCAGTGAAGCATCGATAGGCGGTGCTCTCAACCGTTCCCACGGCACGTTATTCTCGATGGCCACCGCCCTCCTTCCATGTGAAGGGTACCTAAAAGCATAAAACCAAATTTAATATCAATCCACCAGGTCAAGTAAGTTTCAAAAATCACCATAAAAATCACCAGGTCCATAATCCAATTTACCTTGCTTGGAACGTGTCGGTACGTTGATCATAGCTGAGTTCAGCATCATAGCAAGACAACATAAACCCAACATGGCCATTCTACAGAACAAAGAATCTTATAATCAAGTCGGGATTATCACAAACACGTGTGGAGAATTTGATTGAAGGTGAAGAGAATCAAATACCTCACGGTTATAGACCTGAGCAGGGAACCAGAATTCGCCACTCTCAAGAGCAAGAAACCAAGACATGATTGAATCATCCGGCAAAGAACTCTGCTCACTACGATCATCATCAACCTTTGGTTTAAACCACCAGGATGGTCTAACCATGGACAAAATCCTCATCAAACCTTTTGGCCTCCCTTGTTTCAAATGACTCGAATCCTTTCTCAAAGCAACATGCCATTGCCACTCTCTATAAGCAGCAGGGCCAATGATTCTACCCCATTTGTTCCTCATATGTTTTTCCCAGAAATGATCGGCCGTACACATACTCCTCAAAGAGCTGCAAACACCGGCCATGTTACAAAGACTAGCGGGCGGCAGCCTTTCGATGATGCATTCCAAGGCCAAATCTGGTAAGTCCAGAACCGAGATGGCACCACCACCACCTCCTTCAACCGCCTCAAAGCTGTCAACTTTTGAACTGAAAGACATCTGTTTTAGAGACATTCTGGAAGGGAAGGGGGTGAAATATGTAATATCAAGACTGTTTGTGATCAACTTGAGAATGCAAGCAAAGGAAAATTTCAACTCAGTTGGCCATGGTGGAACTGGTTTCAACTTAAAAAAGAAGAGGAAGGGGAAACAGGTGAGGAACAAGTAAAGTAACATTCCAAGAAATACAAAAAGGAAAGAAAAAAGAGGTGCAGACCTGAATTCTCTTATGGGTCCAAATTCAATAATATAAGATAAAAAAATTCAATGGAAGAGAACCCAATTATCTATCCTCTTCTCTTATCTCATCTTCTTTCCAATAAAAACCAAAGTGAGATCATCAATATAACAAGACCCCAACTTTTGATTTAAAATATTACAAAAAGAAAGGGATTTTATTGGTTAAATCGAAGCCCACCAAACCCTCAAAGGTGGACCTCCCATGTAAATGACTAATCAAAACAAAAAATAGTAGCAAAATATGAGAAGAAAATAATTTTCTTTCCTTCCAAACAGAAAAGTTACCTAACAACCAAATCCAAAATAAAAAACCTCCTTTTTTTTAATATTTTTAAAGAAAAACAACTCAACCGAACAGACAACTAAACAGCTGTCGTGTAATAGATGGAGATCTTAATGGATGAACCCAGAAACAAGTGAAATTGAAAATGGTGGTGGGGATACTGAGATCTTGATATGGGTTATTTCCGACACCTGGAAAATATTATCCACCAAGAAGAATCTTTTTTTTTTTTTGAAGATGATAATAATAGGTCTAGATGCAACCACCCATATCCATACAATCTTTAGATAAAAACAGTTTTCTTTTCTTTATTTAAGAAACAAAACAATATCTTTTCCTTTTTGCTTTTGAAGATAATAAGGTGACAACAAAACTGGGTTAGTTTGGATTGGAAGAAAAGACACAAAAACATAACATAAAAATCGAGATTAAGAAATTTGATGAAGAAGACCTTAGTTGATCCGATTTGGTCTTCTTCATCAAATTCTCTCCTTTTTCTTTCCTTTTTTGTTTTTCAGTAGATGGACATACAGGGATGGGGATGGATAGAGGAAGACAATGGTTAACAGGGAAATATATATACATCTTTGTGTGGATATTAAAAGCAAAAGATTGTGGAGTCTATATGTTCTTTACAAGTAGGAGCAAAATCCGTTTAGCCATAAAAATCCACCTTTTTTGTTTGAGGATAATCTAATTAAGAAACAGTGGTCCTAATTTGAATAGCTTTGTGCTTATTAATATAAACTCCAAATTATCCTCATTTACTTTTAAATTATAATTATAATAATACCCGAATTAAAATTCAATCAATTAACTTAAAATTATTCAAAGAGATGAAAATCTATACATATTGTAACAAAGAAGACTTGTATTTGATATTTATATTGAATTCAATATTCGATTAAGTTTTGATAAAAAGATTATGATAGAAAGCTTTGTATTTCGGTTTAGTTAAAAATAAATAAATATGTATTTCAGTTCGATTTTAGTTTTTATATGAAAATCGATTGAACCGAATTAAACTGAATTAAAAAAATAAAAGAAAATAAATATTCAAAACAAATTCATTTGAATTTATTATAAGATATTTTTAAATAAATAAAATCTTAAAATTAATAATATTTTTTATAAATTTAATTTAAAAATTTACACTCTATTTAAGCTTTAAATTTATTTTTTTTATGTTGAGTTTAAAAAATAGTGAACAGATAAAAACCATAAAACCAAACCGAATCGAAAATCGTGAATTTTATGTCATTTAATTTCAATTTTTAAAAATCCGCAAAGTGTCATTTACTTCATATTTTAATGAAAATCGAACCGAATCGAATACACTTTTTAAAATCCCCCTTAAGGTTTGATATGATTTATATAATTTGATTAATGTTTTTCAAAAGGGTTGCCGCTGATATAAATCGAAAAAAGAAAGGAACCTCAAAACTAGAGATGACAAACGGGCGGGTCAGGTGCGGATACCCCTTCCTCATCACTATACCCACCTAATATTTTTCAATCCACTACCCGCCCACCACCCATGATGGGTACAAATTTTCAAATCCACATCCGCCCACGCGGGTACATTTTCAAATTCATCCCCACAACAACTACCCACTAGCGACATACCCATCTAGACTCGCCTGATAGCAAACTAATGGGATGTTGGAGTTGGTTCCCAGACAGTTCGTGATGGGGTAGCAGCGCATGCTTTAATTTGTCTGAGGAGTGGCTCTACGAATGTTATGGAGACAGATTATAGGGAGCATGTAGTCGCAGAGCTGGATTGTTGTGTTGCTTTCAATGTTAATGCTCATAGTGCGCCTAATATGAGTTTTGAGGGGCTAAAAAACATAGAAACGGCTGCTTTTGATGTTAATGCTTATAGTACGGCTAATTTGTGTTTGGATGGGCAACATGGGCTAAAGAACATGAAAAGTGACGTGGTTAGTGGAATTATGGGTTTAATCAAAAAGCCGAATATTTCCCTAATTAAATACCAGATTAAAGACTAAATATTCTTAATATTTGGTTAAATTATATGTTATATATTATATAATATTAAAATTTATAAACTAGTCTCTAAAATTACACCTAAATTCATAATGATCCAAAATTTAATAGATATTTAGTTGGGCGGGCGGATGCGGGGCGGGTAATGTCTCAAACCCATTACCCGCCCACCGCCCACGACGGGTATCACTTTATAAATCCACACCAGTCCACTACCCGCTAAAATTATACCCATCCACACTCCAATTAGAGTGGATGCGATACGAAATCCACGAAACTGTACTCGTTTACCGTCCCTACTCAAAAATAAGTGGAGGGTGTTGGATCGCTAAAGTAAAAAATCAATAAACACGTGTGTTTTTATTTGCTTGATGAGTATAAAGCTTGATAAAAATAAAAGGAAAAACCTTTTTAAAGTGATTAATTAGAGTCAATGTATGCCTAAAATATGAGTCGACGTATATGATCACATTTTATTATTAGTGATCACATTTTATTTTCTAATAAGAGGAGAAGAAAGAGTTATTCGATATTAAATTCAAGATATGATCTTAATTAAAAAATATATATTAAATATTTAAAATTAAAATTTAAAGAATATAAAAAATTTAAAAAAGTTATATATTAATTTAAAATTATATATTAAACTATAATTGTGATTCATACTTCTCTATTAGTAAATTTAATAAATTTTTTTTTGTAAAATTATGAAAAGGCTGTTATAACAAAAAAATATTTTAAATTTTCAATCTCATTTTAAACGTTCAAATTTATTTATTTTTATTTAAAGGTCGATAGTGGATCACTCGTTCTTCAGTCGTTCCAGCTCAGTTGGTAGAGCACAATGTTCTTAACCTTGAAGTCGTGGGATCGAGTCTCATGGAGGGCATTTCATAATTTGAAGGTCTCCTACGGAAGCTGCTCTCAACCTAGTGTTGGGGGCAACCTACTATCTTACCTCCTCCTTACCTCATTACATATAGGAATAAATGACAGTAATTTTTTTAGGGTTTTATTCACTTTGGATACCCTTGTGACAGGTTAGGCAAGCATGCTATTTTCTTCTCTTTTGTAATATTTTTTCATTTCTTTGATACAGTGAAATAAAAGTATCAACGAGAACTAAACCTTGATATTTTTCGAAATATAAATAAATACTCGATAAAAATATGTATGAAGTATTCGTTTTCTAGATATTATCTTTTAGTGCCATGGTTTCTCGTTACTACAAAGGGATATGATTAAGGTGACCAAAATCCCAACGAAATGAACCTTATAAGTGAATAAAACAATGCTATAAAAGCAAGATCCTTAGTCATCTTTTATGGGTTATTCCTTATTTCTTTAATACTTTGAGGTGATTTATAGGTAATGTTTTTTTTAAAGCTTTCTATACTCGAATATAAATCTTTTAGAAAGAACTGTTAGAACTAAATCATAATAAATATAAAAATAAACATGAATCTAATCATGTCAGATCATCAAGAATAAAATATTAGATGTGGAAGCGTACATGTATTAATTGATAGGTTGAAATCATTGAGTATATCTTTGGTTGTGATCTTCCAAGAAGATAGAATTCCATTGAGTATAAACTCTCTCACGGGATAAGAGAAAATGCAAGATAGTCTATTTCTTGGGGATCATAACTCCTTTAATAGTATAACTTTGCTCCTCATCAAATTAAAATACAACTTTAATAGTATCTAAACTTTTATTTTCATGATACTTCTAATACCTTATGACTTTATAACATAATTTATCACTTAATTTATTCATATTTTATGATAACAATATGCATTAAAAATATATACTCATAATTATGGATTTTAATCCAAGAATCTCTCACTTCTGCAACACATGTTCCTTGATAAATGTATAACATTATGAACTCAAAATTTGTTATCATGCAATAGATATTTTATAACAATCTCGTATAAATGTATAACTATATCTATATAGGATCAAAGCGATCTTCGTCTTATCAATCATGACTAGATCATCAATTGTTACGTATACAAATACAGTCAAATTAAATAGTGTTGAAACATTTTAATATTTCGATATAACAAATTAAGTTAAATGGATTTTAAGATTTTCCAAATGATTTTCTAAGTATATTCGATATAACTATTCGAATATCAAAACATTACTCCAAATATTTCAAAAATCATTTTTGATCCTTACTTAAGTGTAAAATTAAGTTTTAATCATAAAACAATTTCAAAATAATTTTACAAAGTATTTCGAACCAATTCAAAGCCAAAAATTCCAGATTACTCAGAGGGAACCGATTCCCCCCCATAGGAGGAACCGATTCCCCCCTGAATGGTTTGGCTCCGAGATTTCCAGAATGCTCGGAGGGAACCGATTCCCCCCAAGGGGGTACCGATTCCCCCATGTTCAACGGTCGAAATATTTGAATTTTACACTTAGGGAACCGATTCCCTATGAGAGGGAACCGATTCCCCCCACGCTCCAAGTTGTTTTATTAAATGTTTTCACACTAAAACGGCTATAATATCTTCTCTAATTATCCCCAACGTTCAGAAGTGATCCAAGGTGTATTTAAGCAAGCTTAGAAGCCATTGATCAACAACAAGAAACATCAAGCAACTAGAATCAAGAGAGAATCAAAGAGAAAGCATCAAACCTCAAGTTTGAGCATTTCAAGCCTATTTTCATTCAATATTCATTTTGCTTTCAAGAACACTTTTTTTGCTCAATTGTATTCATCTTTGAGTGTTATTTTCTTTGTT